CCATATATAAAACTTGTCTTGCAAATTAAGATGCATATTGTATAAAGTCAACACGTTTTGGAGGTCCTATAGAATATTGCTACGTAACTCCTAGATAAATAGTATATATAGAGACAAGAGTGAAGTCTTCTTCGCTCTTCTCAACTTCTTTCTTACTTCTAATTTCAAGAGTCTATAATTTTCTTGTCTTTTGGCAATAGCCATTTCAATTTCTTTTTAATATACATACTTCTTTATTTCTCTTTTTGTTATACTTCTTTGAAAAATTCTCACTTGTTTATTTATTTTCATCAAGTTCTTGTCCTTGAAAATATTTACGAATTCAATTGAAGAAAAAATCAATAAAAGTAATTTAGATTTAAGTTTCTACACAAAATCTAAATTTTAGAGAAATTAAATAGTTCAATAAGGAGAAATATTTGTTAATAGATCAACATTCAAGTTGGAGAAGGAAGGCGGCAAACAACTTAGAGGTTTTGAATGCTTTTCTTGCAATTGGTAAGTCCAATTTTTTTCAAATTTTATGTGCTTATTAATTGCTTGTTGTCTGAAGTTGAAATAAGAATTTAGCAAATATCTATACTTTTATTAAAAATTTTTTGAGATTTCAAATAGCTATAGTAATTGATTAAAATTTACTTGGAATTTTCTTGAAGTTGTTTGGAGTTTGATTAAGATTGATCTAGAATATGGATTTGATTAGGATTTAGGATTTTATTAGGATTTTATTAAGGTTTATTAAGATTTTAATTAAGTTTTTTATTAAAATCTGATTAGTATTTTTATTTTTATTATTTTTAAGAATTCTTTATTATTCCTTTAGAAGTTTTTATTTATAATATTTCTTTAAGATTATTATTTTTTTTTAAGATTTATTTTTATATTTCTTTAAAATTAATTTATAACTTCTTTGTATTTTTAAAATCTATTGAGATATTTATTTAGGAATTGAATAGAATTTATTTAATTTTTTAAAAAATTTAATTAAGCTTCTTAAGATTTTCTATGGATTCTATTAGAATTTAACAAAACAATTGTCACAATTCTATATAAATTTGATTAAAATTCAATAAAATAAATAAATAAATAAAAATTAAGAATTTTTTAAGGTATATTTAAAATTGAACATAATCTGATAAGATTATTTAGGTTGTTTAAGATTGCCAAGGTATTGTCAAAAACCTTATGTATTTTCTTTTGGATTATAAATCCAACTTTAAGATAAGATCATATCTTTCAATAGCCAAAGGCTTATTGTATTCAAAGTCTAATTTTTATATAATAAAATAATACAACAAAGACATGCTAATGGAAATAGCTACAAGATGTTAGAGTAGAAAGGAATTTCTATTCTATTTGAAGTGATTTTGTGAGACTTAAGTTCTAAGAAAGAATGAAGCTAACATGATCTTTGTAGGTTGCTTGATTAGATCAAAACTATTTGAAAAGAAATAAAGAAGCAATAGAACATTTTATAAGGATAAAAGGTAAATTGTAGCACTGATGTTAAAACAAAAAATATATATATATATATTTTATGATTATATATATATATATATATATATATATATTTTTTATGATTATATATATATATATATATATATATATATATATTATGATTATATATATATATATATATATATATATATATTTTATGATTATATATATATATATATATATATATTTTATGATTATATATATATATATATATATATATATATAATCTACACTTGTTGTAGTCAATCTTGTTAAAGTCAAGTTTGAATTATAGTCAACACATTCTATTAGCACAAATCTTTATCACCTGTAATACATTATATAATTTAGTTAAGTCTATATAGTAAACTATATTATATAGATAATAATTTCTTTTATTCACAAATTTGATTCTTACAAAGATTACTTGTACATGTGTGTGTGTATATATATATATATATATATATACACACACACATATATATATATATATATATATATATATATATAGACACACACACACATATATATATATATATATATATATATATATATATACTTTTCATAAAAATTATAAAAGTCTTTTATAAACTATATAATTTTTTAATTTAAATTTTTAAATATCAAAGTGAGCCATATAAAAGATTTAACTTCAATCAAATTAAATATTCTATCTTTTGATTATATTTTTAAAAGAATTATATATATATATATATATATATATATATATATATATATATATGTGGATATTTTTAAAAGATATCTATACATTAAAAATAAGTAAATTAGTATTTTTACTGTTAATAAAGTCTTTAATATACAATCATATTTTAATTTTTTATTAGAATTAAAATATAAATATACATATATATATATATATATATATATATATATATATATCAAATTCAGATATGTTGTACACGAGATAATTAAAGATATTTATATTTCTAAGCATTCTTAAATAATAATTAAAAGAACAATTATCAATTATTTACATAATCTATCAAGATTAAGAAGTATTAAAAAATATATTAAAATTTATTAAGTCTAATTAAATTTTTATTATTTGGAAATATTAAAAATACATTGAGATTTATTAAAATTACAATACAATAGGTTATTACATTACTTAAATAAATAGAAGCAATTAAAAATAGATAGAAATGTTAGTTAAATAATATCTTCTTTAAAAAAAAATTGAAGATATTTTCTTAAAACAATTAAATTTTAGGTATTTATATTTATTCCATGTAGTCATACAAACTCATTCTATAAGTTTATTACTTTTATAAAGCCATATTAGAAGCAACTTGAAATTTGTTGCTTAGGCCACTAGTTTTATTATCCTTGAAAAACTTCCTCAATATCTTTTTGAAAGCTTCCATAAAAAACCATTTTATGACATTCTTTTATATTTTTTGATATTAAAAAATTAATTTTTTTATAATTAATTATCAAATAAGCATAGTATATATAATTTTAAAAATTATAGTAAATATGTATATTAACTATATTTTTGATTTTTACTTTTTATATTTACAAGATTTTTATTTTAGATCTAAAATACGACATATTATTTTATTATTTTATAAGATGTATAGTTTATTTTTAATTCAATCTAAATTTAAATTTTTAATAAGTTTAATTATTTTTTATTTTAAAAAATAATTATTTATAAAATAATTTTAATATTATTTTTAAATTAATTTTTAAACTAATCCAAGAATTTACTAAATAAATTTATTCATTCTAACCATCATCAAAAAATTCTCCAATAATGGATTTGAATTGGTCAAAAATATTTTAATATTATCTTATTTATTTTGGCAATAATCTTTCTTAAACTATATAAATTTTTGGTCTTAAAAATATTATACACTCAAAATAATTTGGATACTTGTTGTGTCAATTTTTAGTTTTATATAATTATAAATTGATATTTTACATAGATGTACAAAGCTGCCAAAATAATTTAATATATGACAAGAGATCACAAACAATCAATGCTTTAGTAGACAGTAAAAGTAAAATTTTGTAAATAAAACAAAATCAAATGAATTTCTGAAAAACAAAAATTCAACCAAACCAAATAATAAAATTCCAAAGTCTATGTTATAAGGAAAAAACACGAGATAAAATAGTACAATTATGTAGATTATGTATCAAAGAAGAAGTGCAATATTCTATTTGTTATACGATAAGGAAGAAATGTATGTTGCTAAGGCCATGCATACATAGAAAAATACTTAATTTCATAACATATATCATGAGTGACAAATATATAGCCAAATGTATTATACTGCACAATAAAAGAAAAAAGAATTGCATTGTAGTACTAGAAGTGATAAATAAGACCAATTATGCAAAAATAAAATATTAACTAAAAAAATAATACTTCAATTATTATAGTGTGTCTTTGCTACAAAACACCTTAATATACAATGCCACAAAAGATAAATACAATGTACATTGTTACATGCAAGTAGTTCAATTAAAACACTATCCTTTACTACATTAATTTAAATAAAAGATTCACCAAAAAATTATATGGCACTAAGGAAGGTAAATTGAAGCGACTAGATATTATTCAAATCAACAAATATATTTGACAACTAGTAGTCTAAGAGAAAACAATCCAAGTTTGACGAGCCAATTTCTGTCCATCAACAAATCAATCCAATTCAAAATTAGTTTGCCAAAGTGTGAAAGTATACAAAAATATACCAAATAAATCCAAACATGTTTAAATTCTAAATTTAGATAAGCATCTATCATAAACATGGTAAATTTAGATAAACATCGACCATGGACATTCAACTTGAATAGATGGCAATTTGGAAAATGTTTCTCCTAAAACTATTCTCCAAAAACTATTCACCAACTTCCATAACATTTTCTATTTAAGATAATAATAATAATAATAATAATAATATATACACATATATACATATACATGTATGATTTTTGTTTTTTCTCCTACAAATCTGCAAGCAAGAGTTTTTCTGCTTCATTCTCAAAACAAGCTCAGCATCTACACAATGCCAAAACAATCTTCCCGACAGTATCAGAAAAGCCCAAATTTACCACATTCGACGCAACATCGCTGCCAAAAAGCACAAGCCAAAGCAGTCGTCACCGTCAAACTCTGCACAAATACACTCACAAAAGTAATATATTAGCAACGAGATAAGCACACATTTATCCCCGCTAATCCGCATGGATCGGATGCTAGAAAATGGCGAGAACCAACGACGAAATGAGTTTCACGTGAGTGAGGATCATCGTCGTGCAGCGCAATTTGATGGGGGAAGACAAATTGCGCTTCGGAGATTCTGCGGCATCCATCGTGAAGATTGGATGCGGTAAACCAAGCGGATCAGCAGCAGCAGCAGCAATCCTGGACGACGATCTGCGCAGCGGATCACGATTCAACCTACAGGATCCAAAGAGGGAATCACCGCGACGAGGATGAGATATTAAATCCATGATAAGCGTCGATTGCCACTGTATGAGGTTGAGAACCGCAGCATCCAGACGATTGCGGAGCCTCATTACCCCCCAGAGCAGCAGGTGCAGTAAGCGTCAAGCTGCTACCCACCTTTGTGAGACTGTCGAGCTGGTGCCCCCAGAGATTGCTGTCCATGCTTTTGGTGCGACTCGGAACCGGATTCTTTGGTGGGTTGTGGGAAAATTATGGCTCTTGTTGGGTGCGGAACCAGCTGGACTAGGATGTCCGTTAAAAATTTACTTTCACTCCACCGGCATTCCATGTTACATGAACGACAACATCGCTCACATCCTAAAGTCATTCGGGCCTTGAGTGGAATCCTTCTCTCTTTCCAAATGACTGCGATGTGTAGCGGTGGGAACCTATGAGGGTTTTATAGGTTGGGTTTTATGGGGAAGGGTTGTGGGGAGACAATAATGGAGGCGTCTTTATAATGCTCCTTTTGGATGTGGCTGGATTCCGTGTGTAGATTGATATTTCATTCCCAGTCCATTGGCATTTATTTGTCAGGTTCCAATCGACCAATCTCGCCAATGTTGTGAGGTTTTTCTCTCTCCCTGAAGCTGTGTTCCTCGACACGTGACTCTGGGGGGTTCTTGGCTCGGATGGGTTTGTCCATAACTGCATCCCAAGTAGAAACCATGTAGGTTACATATTGATGTTGTTGTAATGGCTCAGCAAGCGCACGGCCTGGAAGTGTCGAAGATATCGAGCTTCTGACAAGAGGGTGCTTGCCTCGAACACAAACCTGTGCGGAATGCACAGTAAGTCGTCTTGCCCCCCTCATGAATCTTATGGTAGCTCTGTCGACATGGAGGTGTTTTTTTCTTGGTCAGCGTGCTGTTCGAATTTTTCCAGCCTCATTTAAGTCGAAATATTGAGTTGAAGCATTCGCGAAATTCGGTGGTAGGCAGGTAGGTAGGCTGTATCTCGTGGGTTCCGTATGCGGATTAGTTATGCATGTATCAGAAGATTGTATCCTAGATATTTCTCATGGGGTTGTGGAAAGAATTGGGAAGCAACTTTTCCTTTGGTATCTGGGTGCCGAACAATGCGGCAGTTGCTCTGTCAGTCGGCGCAGTGGTGAATGGAGTAGCTCGGAACCACCTGGTGTTCGAATTTGAATTTGAATTAGCACTTGCGGGGCCTCAAGTGCATTAGTCGCAGGAGGAAGGGTTATTCAATCTACAACCAGATTATGTAATGTAGATTGGTCAACAAACCCGACTCATAGGGAATGAAATTTGATCAGGATCTTTTCCCATATTCAATCTTGTTAACCTGGAGGTGTATTGCTACCAGTAGTAATGTTTAGTTGCGAATGCAGCCCAGTGATGATAAGATCGAAACCCAACTGCAGCTTGCTTGGGTGTGGTGGATTTTGTTGATGGCGGCCCTGCTTCAAGTTTCGACTGTCCTCTCGTCCAAGTGGGGAGGGACCCTGCAATGCAATGCTTCTTTGAAGTCCCTACGCTCCCATGCTTCCTTGAAGTCCTCGTCACAATGTAGAGTGAGTTTCAGTATATAATGAACGTTATCAAATCATGTAGTGCATGCTCAGCCTTCATTAATCTTCATCTCTGTGTCTTGATTTAAGAGAATTTCACCATTACAGTAATTCAGGTTCAGCTTTAGTAAGAGACTATGTTTTTGCAATTTACTTTTTCGCAGTCTGTTCCTGGCTTCAGAGATACAAGCTTTGACAAGCTATTATGGTATACAAATCCTTGCACCAGAAGGCAAAAGAGCGGATGCCCAGGTCTTGCTCGAGCCAAAACATCAGATTACACGATCATAGAGAGAACCTGCCAAGTAGGGGATCACTTCTTGGATGATTTGAGTACGTACATCATTCGCCAAACCTACAAAGTGATTTCCAAGTATCTACCGCCCGATTGGGATCCCCTTGGTTTTCTGCCGCTGAACGTTCAAACCAACCTTCAAAAAAATGAAGCGATTGTAAGTAAACATAAACTGGCCCTTGCATTTTCTGGTCTGAATTTCATCATTTTCGCTAAACACAACGATGGCTGCTGTGTGAGGTCATTGAAATCCACACAACAATTAAATGGTATTGAGGCAGCCGGACCATTCTTGGCTGAAAAGACCTCATCCCGGGCATTGCACACTTACCCAAATTGTATATTCGGTGGACCATTTTGTAACAGGCGACCCTGGTACTTCGCGAAACACTAGTGTTTTTTCTATTTTACCTCGTATATCGCCGGGTAGGTCGATTCTGCAGATGGATGTACGGGTAAGTCCCTAACTCGTTACAATAACTTTGTATTCTCTGCATTGTATACCTCTTGTCCCTTGTGCATTCGGTTTGACGACGCCATTTGTTTTGTTTAACACTACCGACTCGCTGGGGGTGGGAACAATTCAGCGTGTACCTGCGTGCGGAACGTATAAAGGTGCAGGGTCGGGAACATGCTTTTGACGACACTGAATTTGATGAAGAGGGTTTTGCAATGTCGCCATTTCGAGCCGCACGAAGGCCTTTTCGTTATATTATTATGCTTTGGGCCAGCACAAGACTGTAAGTACATTCTGTCCTTGCCAGTTGAATACCCTGATTCATCCGAAACAGATTTAGACTGTGAGGGAATCCATCACTTTTCATGCTGTTCCAAACAGTATAGACATCACATGGCCTGTTGATGTTACGATTGTGGATGTGGGACAGGTTGTGGGTAGTATCGATAATGTTCAAGTTGGAGAAACTCTGCACTCCGGATTTAATATACGATATTCGAGCATCGTCTTTCGTCATTACGATCACGTGGTTCTTTTTCCGTTGGAAACGACTCTACGTTGAACATCTTCTTATAACAAAACCAGAAATTGATGTAAACCCATTCAACCTTTCTGTCATCGTGTCTAGATTCTATTTCAGAAGTCGCATATTACTGCTGTTATCGCAGTAATGGCTACGAAGCACCGAGTTTGAAGATTAAGTGTGTTTTAAATTTTAGGACTTTGTTCTAGGAACCAACCCAGCGTGAATAGAGCGGAGCCACGCATTGAAATAGTTAAAGACACTGGGATTGTTTTGTCATGTGTAGAGCCAAATATTTGCAATCGATAAAATAGCGTCGCTACTTATGTATGGCCTAGCAGCATCGTGCGTCGCTGAGGTCTTGGGCATGGCACTGGGTTCACTTCTAGCTGTTGGTGGAGTCTCTGGTATGCAATTCTCATGGACCCTTCGTTCTTTCTACATGACTTACATGTGCTCGTTGCCGTAGTTATAGCACTTCTAGATTGCTTTCATATGGTATTTGATCTTCAGACGATCTAAGATACTATCAAGAAGCAAGAGGAGTGTAAACCTCATCATCCGGATCGATTGGCTTGACATGATTATATGGGCATGGGTCCAGGTCTAGCGGTGGGTTTAGCGGCCCAGGAAGTTGTGGGAAACATGTTTGGTGGCGCATCTCTCTTCCTTACCCGGCCATTTGATATTGGTGAAAAAATTAAGGTTGTCATTCACACGTGCTCGTCTTGCCGAATATGGAAAGCTCTGGTTGAATGTCTTTGTGTATTTTAACCGCGTTCGAGCAATCTGCAAAAATCGTCGTATCATGAGGGTTAAGCACGCACTGTCTGTAACGCTGTCTTAGGATAACTAATGGAGTCGTGAGGATTTTCTGGATACAGGCTGGAAGTGTAGCGGGACGTGTGCAGGATATTGGATTCATGCAAACCAAGGTTCAGGGTTTCGACGGCGTTCCTCTGCTTGTTCCTAATAAAGCATTCACCAGTCAGGTTAGTGCTGTGTTTCTCGATGTCAGGTGGACCTGTGAGATCGTTTCAGTATTTCTTTTGCAATCATCAGCAAAGCGGTGGGCTACTTAGATCCATTCAGGTGGTCAGACTGCCGTAACCTAGAAACCTCATTGTAGTTCTTATGATATGTTGAAGTCATGTTAATTCCTTTGTAAAAATATGAACATATCGGTGGCTAAGGGCAACGAGATTACACTCGCGGAAACACGCCAAACAGGTGATGTAGAATTGTGCAGAACCAGTCTGTGTGCATACTCGTGTATTTGCATAAGAATAACAGTGAGCACCTACATCAAGTGAATTGGTTTTCTTGTTTGTTAATTGTCGAACTATTGCGTATTGTAATATGTAGGTTATCACGAACTTTTCAAGGGCAAACTCTAGGGTGCTTGAGGCAACTTTTCAGCTGGATAACAGACATATCTTCATGGTGAACAGTATAACAGAGGAAGTCACGAAAAACTTGCTTTCACATCCAAATATTGACAGCTCAAGGACCAGCCCCATCTGCTACTTGCGGACTATGGGAGATGACGGGCCTGAGATATCCGTTACCTGTGTCGTTAAAGCCAGTGTGAGTCACCACACCTTGTATTTTCTTCAATTTCAAAACCACTATAGTGGTTCCAGCGTGCATTCTCCATAGAGCAACGTTTCCGAGTATCTGTTCAAGTGGTTCTGCTTTCACTACGACCCTTACAGTGACTTTTTATCCTCTTTGTGTGCTTCAAAATTGGAAGACTGAAGCACTGTTGTTTGAACCTTGGTGCGCAGGGAGGTGCAGTCTTTTACAGGATTCAACAAGAGATTCTTGTACAAACTGCGCAGATTATTACTGATATTCTGGGACCCGATTCTCCATTCATGCCTCTCGACACATCCTCTACTCAAGAATCTGAGCGTAGAAATGAAGGTCTCATACTTAAGCCCTTACCTCTATGAAAACTTTTATGACATGTACCCACAATGATTCTTTCATGTGTGACACAAGTCCGGGTCAGTATTATCAGGCCCAACAGTTCTGAGGTGGCTTCGATCAATCCCCCGAAGTAGCTGTGCATGCTTGTTCTGAGGAACACTACTAATCATGTGTATTCCCGTTTGTTCACCTGAGAGCTTTGATCGTACCTGAGGGTTTAGTTCGTGTCATGAGTACTAATTTTGCATCAAACTCAATTTTTCGGTGCAAACTAATGCCCGATGATGAGATAACGATGTGAATTGGAGAGCACAGCATCATGCATTGTAACATGGAGTGTGTGTATGTTGCAGAGCGCGTGAAACGAGCAGAGGAAGAGAAATTGGAGAGAAAATTGAAGAGGGAGAAAGAAGAAAAGAGGAATAGAAAACGGGAGGATATCAATATCAGCTTTTTGTAAGAACCACTTGAAAGAAGACTGAAGAGTTTGTTCATTTGCTAAAGCACTTGGGAATTGTCTTTCTTCTTCTGCTGTTATGAAAAGCTCATTTGAAAATGAATTAAGAGATTGATTCTGGATGCTTGTTTTATTGTGCCAATTTGGATGAATAAGCCATACTTTGTATATTTGTACACATATGTATATTCAAAGAAAACCAAGTCAGAATCCTATTATTCATCCAAAAATTCAGGTAAAATCATTTCAAGGTAATGAAGGTATTTGTCAGAAATTACATTTTCCATCAAAATCAATTTTTAATTCATTCTTACAAAAAAGTAAATACTATTTTTTTGTTCTTAATTTATAAAATATATATACCCCAATCATTTATTGTTTTGAAATGCCCATAATTTTGAGTTAATAAATTCAAAAAAATAAAATTTGACTAAGTATAATAAATCTCTTCAACGTAAAATTTAATGTGTCATCGAGCTTCAAAATATCATATCCATTCTCTAGAAAGTTATTCTTTGTTACAGTTTATTCTCCTTCAACATGTTTTTTGTGAATGTCATTTTGACCCATGTAGCAATCCACAAAAATCTTTTAAGTACAACCTCTTAATCTTTTAATTAGATTTTTAAAAAGCCATATGATTACATATTATAAAAAAATCATTGTTACAGCCATAGAAGTGTTAGGTTTGTATTTAAAATTCATTTTTATATAATCTTTTATTCACTAGATTTAAACCTATTATAAATGTCAATACTTTCTATCTAAAAAATATCTCATTTAAATAAGAATAAGCTTATATAAAATTATATAATAAAACTTTAAATAAATATATGGTTAGAAGGCCTAGGTAATAGGCACTAAAATTGAGTAAAATTACAGAACTTTAAAGACATATACAAGAAAAAATGTTGTAACATATTTCCAAAATCATACTAGTTTTCAAATAATTCTAACAAATTTGAAGATTGCACCAAAGTAATTCTAATCAAATTTAACAACAAACAAAGTGATTTGATTAATTTAAATTATTTTCCATCTTTATATACTAGGCTAATTCAGCCCTCTTATCTATTGTCTAACATGTGACTTTATTCTACAAAAAATTATTTTTGGAAAAAAAAAATATTAATATTTGTAATATAAGTATTCTCTAGCTCTTGGTCATTAAGCAATATTCTTGGACAATGTAGAAACAATAATAAATAAACATGTATTTAAAAACAAAATTTTGATTTGTCTTTAAAATAGAATTCTTGATATTAGTGTTGTAGAATGTAAAAAGCTTAGCTGGTATAAAACTATTTATATATATATATATATATATATAGATTACAAATAACTTTTGAACAACTAGCGATTTTTGAGTATTTAGCAAAATGATGAACTACAGAAAGAGAAAAGAAAAAAGAAAAAAAGTAGACATTATTAAAATAAAAATAAAAAAACTTCACAATATGAGGTTAAATAACACACCGAATCATGTTGTGTTCGGTGATTTATGGGAATGTCTTCCATTTTCATGTCGTTGGAGGATTATTTTCTATGCAGAACAAGGGACCGTGTTTCTTTTCTTGTGCGAATTGTGTGTATGAGTCGTATCTGGGTTTCCAGATGTGCTTTTGTGTGTTTGATGAATGCTTGAATCATGTGATCTCATGAGCTTGAAGTGATTAGATTTCGTTTTGGCCAATGAGTCGGTTATGTGCAGTGAGTGTGTGTCCAAGATATCGCATACAATTCTGCATGTTGGGTTTCAAAGTTCTTAGTCGCGGAAGTTTGGTGGTACACCGGCAGTGATGTTAAGCTCGTTTCTTCTATCCTTTTGATTGATATGGTTAAATCAGTTACGCCTCTCAGATTAATGTAGAGGATTGTCAATCGGTGCTCTGGATTTCGGGATTCTTGTTCGCGGTGCATTCTAAAGTATATATTTTGTCCTGCGATGCCTGGGCTACATTTTCTGAACTGCATTTTCCTGTATGTTCTTTGTAGATTTCGTAAACTTGGTAGTACTCACGTTCGCAAGGATGTTTGTACGAATTGGGCGATTACATAATTAGACCTAGATAGTGATCTATAATGATTGGCAAAAGGTGTGGACGCTGAACGAGTTTTAAATATTTTCTATCAGTGTATTCAGGGATATTGGCTTGAAAACTGAACCACCAATCTTGATTGTGGTAACTATTTTCCCCTTTGTGCATAGAAGACTTCGCTGCAGAGTTGAAACATGTGAAAATCATTGACTGCAGTCTCTTAATTTGTGTTCCTGTATGCAACCATGAATCAAATGGAGAAGGGAGATATGGCTCATCTAATCAGATGCTCTGTCGTTTTCCTTCTCTAGTAAGGCCTCCAGTGACCATCTATCATTTTCCGAATGCTATTTATTTATAACTTTAGGGATCGTATTGAGTTACTTTCACAGTGCTTTTGTAGCCCTTTACTCTGTTGAAGCCGCTGATGTCAACCGGTTGATCTGGAAAAGGTTTCAAGCAATCCGGGGCAGTACTGCTATTAAATGATGAGATCAAATCCTGGAGCAAAAAAATATGGTCCATACACTCCATACTTCACTGTTGATAGAACATCAAGCCATTAGCGACTCAAGTGGTTCCTTCTGTGTCACCAAAGTCAAGGGAGACCAGTACTCATCACTAACATGCCCAATGTTACTGAACGCAGACAATTTATATTCAGCCCAAACAAACACCCATTATCACAACAAGAATCATAAGGAAAAATAAACAGATGACACAAACAGAAACGTTATATTCTGGACCTTCTCCAATGATGTACAACGTTGTGATCTGCGCAATGTTTGAGGCGCAATGCGTCAATTTTGCACCTCCTAGAAGATCCTTCATGACTGCACTTGTCAGAATTTTCAGGAGGTAATCACTAGTCCACAATAAAGAACTAAAAGCACTTAGAAGATAATCACTAGTCCGTTGCCAAGATGCAAGGGCTTGAGGAGAGTTACGCAACATTACAATGCGTTCCTTGAAATGGCAAAATAAGACAACGTAATGATGAACGGATCATCAATTGAGACACAATGTATATTCATAAATTTACCAACCGTGAAGACCGCTTTCCAATCTGAACCTATCTTTCTTCACGACAGAGCTCTTCGGACCTAATGCACCAGATTATTGCTTCTATTTAACTGTTCAGAGCGAGCTATGATGCATGTGATCATGGCTTTACGGCGAGGTATGTCACAAACATGTGAAACACCCATCTCCAGCATCGAATTCAGCAGATTGAATGGAAAAAACTTGAATCAGCCGCTTGTCCAAGAGATGAATATGCTAGGTCTCATCCATTGTAAGCTGAGATGCTGACCAGTACATGCATTGAGACCTATCTTACGTGCACACAGTGCTAAGGTGCACAAATCAACATTATCCTCGCTAGAAGTTCCTAGATGATGGAATTCGAAACCTCGTCATGTTACAACCGAAAAGAACCCAACAATGTAGGTGAGATTCAAAATGTGACGAAGCGGAAATTAAGTTACACATTTGACACGGAATAACTGAGAAATAGTTTTGTAACATCTGCATGACGAGAATGCAAGCAGCACAATCACATTCATTGCCCAGTGTTTCACAAAGCACCACGAAAGCGAAAGTGAGCAAATTTGCAACACAATTGAGGCTGTAGTTGAAGGTGAAACTCCAGGATGAATCATCTCATTTTCGTAAATTTTGTAGATCATGTGTTAATGAGTACAAAAAAGACGTGGCATTCATAATGCCCATTGTCGCATGCTCACACATGGTCACTGAGTGACGCCAGTAAAGCTTCTGCTGGTTTGTCTCTCTGAAGAGCACGTAACACCGAGCAGTGAGTCCTGATGTGGACTTTGACAAATATTACTGCCCCTATTGCCTCGAAACAAACAGCTTGACGACCTGCACCTTGGGTCAAAGATTTGAATACCAACGCTACATTGACTAGACTATTATCAGTATTATTGTTATTATCATCATCATCAGTAAAACTAAAACTGGTGTTTATGACGGCCCACCATCCATACCAACCAACGAAGCTCGAAATACTTGCCTAATGTTGCTGCAACTGGGAGAGGGCCGGAGTTGCTCTTTACTGTGACTCTAAATCCACAACCTTCTCTTTCATGACCCCAACACAACAATTACCCAAAATAGTTATTTCTAACTACACTAACACTTAGAACTATAAAAAATAATAAATATTAAATAAATAAATAAATAAAAACTTTTACATAAATATGCAATCGTGAGCGCAGGCACACCCCAGAAATACATCGTTATCCTTGGGTTGTTTATCCTTTGAGGTATCTTTATATTTTGTTGTTTTCTTTTTGAAAATCGTTGTTAACATTGTTATTTCTACTTACACAAAAAACTCCCAAAACGAAACAAAAACAAAGAGTACAGCCCGTAGAAGCTAGCACGAATGATGCAAAAACTACGGCACGACCTCGACGAAGAGACTGAAGAAGGAGACTTGGATCCTAGACAGACCTCTTCAGTTTCTTCTTCCTTCTGCACCCAAGTCTGTAAACCTCAAAGTTTCTAAAGAAGTTTCCGAACCAGCTCCAGGCTCTGGATTTCTATTAAACACTGCCACGAGTCGCTTGGTTTCTAAACCTTCGGTCACCACATTCGTCATTTCAGAAGAAGTTCTGTATCAGACAGAGATTCAGGGGGGAGAAACTGCAGTGGCTGGCAGGCCCAGAAGTCTAGAAAATTATCTCTGGAAGTTTGTCAATGAGTCTAGAGAATCCAAGCTCAGCCATTACCAGAGCATTTACTTTTCACTTCCATTCAAGGAGTGATCCTGTTTTGGGACACTGACTGGCAACTTCGTAAATTTTGTTTAACTTCGTAAAAAAAAATCTTCTCTTCAAATCCCAACAGGATTTCCAAGTCATTACCAATTACCTCCACAATTTTACTATAATATAATGTAAAACTTTTCATGGTCTATTTGTCATTCGTACTTGTCCCACATGGCCAGTATACTTATGGACATCTTCTCTACCACACACAAACAGCAAAGACTGGGGTTACACACACACTGTACTTCTACAGGAGGGTGGAGTGTAGCCTTGTGCTTAGCCCTTTCTCAGA